TACCTACCTACCTACCTACCCACATACATACCTACATACCTACATACCTACATACATACATACATACATACATACATACATACATACATACATACATACATACATACATGCACAAATGCATACATAAATACATGCAAAAATGCATACATAAATACACAATATTACACCAGTACGGAACAATTTACAACCACAAGCCATTGTCGGTCGCCACTGAGTAGCACCCTGTATTTTGAGCTAGAATTGTCTTGTCTTGCCAAGAACACACCCCAGTGACCATCCATCTAAACCCAGAGTTACCGACACTTGCTTATTAGTGACGCAAAAATTGAAGTTCTACTAGGAGACTGGAAAGAGGTTGTCCACCTCATGACTCAAAGGAGCAGAGGTAAGGAGTGTTACTAATACTGTTAACAAATTGATGTATTCAGAAAACCAAGCACACGTTTGATTATTATGCAGTAGAATAACCTATCAGCAATTAAATTTTTAAAATTAACTAAAACCTCCCTACTTACAGAACAAAATAGAAGGAAGCCACTGACTAGTGCTGAGCCAATTCCACTTTACTATTCAACATTCATGACTTTTTAAAGTATTCACAGCTAGTCGAGGCATGGCAGAGCCATTTGAATGCTGTGCATTTTTATAGCTGATGGATTTTCATCTCATTCAGTCATTGGTCTCAACATCTATGAAAATTAAACCAAATTATATATAAAATCAATGTTGAAATACAAAAATACTTGATTATTACAAGAAAGTGATAAACGGAACCCACAAGAGTAAGAAAATATGCCTCATATATTTACTAATAACACCATGAATACCATACAGCAAAGTGCAGCAACAGAATTTTCACTAACTTCTAAAAGCATCAATTCTGTTTGTACTGCTTGCAATCCCTCTGCCACCTGACACCTATTACAAACAAAAAATAAAAATAACACAAGAAAAAAAAGAGTTAATACTACGAACATTTTTTACTGCTGTAATGTCAGAAAAATCATGTCCAACACATCTTTAGACATTTGATTAATAACTTATCTCTGAGAATAGACTGACAGTAATAGAGCTACCACCCGTATGAGCCAAGAACCCATTGTTTCTCCTCAGAGTAAAAAACCTCACTCACCAATGTCCACTAAAAGTCTGGCTTCCTCCGGCATTAGTTGCAGTGGCAGACCCAAGTGATTGTTTTGGCGTGGGGCCCGAGGAAGGCATCCAGATAATTTTCCCACAACCCTGCACTCCTCCCGAAGCATTTGAGCATCTGTGGAATGACATGAGGACATTGCATATTAAGTAGAATAGAGGTACCAATCACTGTCGCCAGAAGTGAACAATATTTCCTTGTGACCATAATTACAGTCCAACTTGCTGTAACAGCCACCTGTCCAAGACAATCACCTGTCCAAATGACCACATTCCCCCTCAACCTCTTGAGGTTTTTTAAATAAATAATCATTACACTAACAAAGACGACAAACTGTCTAAGACAACCACTTCCCTCTTCAACAGTGGGTGACCATATTGGACAATTTCAACTGTATAAAACAAAGAGCTGGTTCCTATAGGCTGAACCAATCAGCAAATAATCAAGTCCATCACGTGGTAGTCTATGAGAGGCCATTCAATTCTAAAAATCAGGAGAAGCCAAATTTATCACCCAGCTCAAGCACTACACCTTGACAAAGTTCCCTGACTGCGGACATTGCAAAAATCATATCATTGCCATGTTCGCTGACCATAGTCATTAGATTAACATGAGCAGTATCAACGGTGTCTTTTGAAATCTCATTATCACTTGAGGTAAAAAAATATTTTAAAAAGAACAAAATGTCTTTTAAACATCAAAGGAGAATTTTATCTCAAAACTTGAAAAGTCAAATCAAACTTGTCAAACATATTTCATTTTCAAACAAACCAGGTGTTTAGGTAATTATATTAAAGATTCTATAAGTAAACTTCATTAA